CCGCCTACATGGGAGGATGGGTTTCTGCTGTTGAAGCCAATAAGTCGGATGTTTTGTTACAGCTGCTGGAGGAGCTGGAGGAGCCTTCAGTAGCCAGTTCTGAGCTATCTCCAGAAACACAAAGTTGGAAGCCTAGACTCTGGCTAGGACACTCTGGCCAGTCCTACCTTTGGGAGTTAGACCTGACTGTAAGACATTGGCTTCTTGTGCCCAGAGAATTCCAACACCGCCATGTTTCTCCTTCATTTGCAGACATGGCACAGTGCTTAAAGGTCGATCCACTTGAAGAAAACTAGAAGGCAAACAAAATAAAACAAACAAACAAACAAAAAGAGCTGAATTTTCCTCAGAGGAAAATGCAGACATATGGGAGCTGAGGAACCTTTTCTAAATTACAATTGTTAATTGGTTTTTCAGAGGACAGTATATACTTTAAGAATGGCCAAATTGGAATTTATTCCTTTCAAATCTTATTTTTGAGATTATAATAGAATTCCAGCATTTCTTCCATCCCTTACCTTCTTCCAAAGCCTTTCATATATCCTTCTCTACTCTTCTTTTAATTCATGACCTCTTTATTTCACTAATTGCTGTTGCATGCATATATGTTTAACTATGTACATATACATTCCTCAATATAAACTGTTCAATTTGTAAAATACCTCCTATATATGTGTTTTCAGGGTTGACCCTTTGGCACTGGAAAACCAATTAATGTACTTTTTCCCAGAGAAAAAAATCACCACAGAGAAAGCCACTTCTTCTATTCCCAGCTTTCTTCATTTTTCTAATTGTTTTTCCTGTAGGGTTGAGGTCTTGTGGATTTTTCTCTGCCTACTTTGGCGTGGTCATGGGTATCATCCTTGTTTGGCTCAATTTAGGTGATCATGCTGGTATAGCTTCTGATACTACTAGGAGATACAATCTTACAGCACTTTTTTGAGTGACCACTTGTGTAGTTTTGTGGGTTGTGTTTTGGTGTATGCATGCGTGATGTGTGTGTGTGTGTGTGTGTGTGTGTGTGTGTGCATGCCTGTGTGTATGTGGTGAGAGATTGGTTGGTGTTGGACATTGTCCTTAACTGCTCTCCAATTTATTTTTTTGAAGAAAAAGAACTCTCTGAACCCAGTGCTTCTTTGACCTAGGGATTCCTGAGATGACAGACTTGTAGCCTCAACCACTAGGCTTTGTAAAGATTAGTACTTGGGACTGAATTGCAGCTCTCACAATTGTATGCATTCACTGAACCATCTTTTAGCCTAAAACTTTAATATATGCTTTGTATGGTAAAATACTCTACTCCCTTCCTTTTAAAGAAAAAACAAGTTGGATCGATAAAAATACTCATTTTCTATTTTGCAAACAAAACTTAGTGGGCCATAATAATTTTGATTATGCAATTTAATTTACATAAATATTAAATATCATTTATAACTTGAACTAGTGCTGTTGTTGATGAGAAAAAACAAAAAGGTAAATAAATATTTGGCTTGGTGTGTTGAAAATGGAATTGAGGCATTTGATCTATCATACAGAGAGCAAACACAGGAAGAATGGGTAGAGACGAGTAGTAGACACAACCTTAAGATGTTTACTCTTGAAAGGAGTTTAGAAGAAATGAATAAAAACGGAAGTGAAAGATGCTTGTCATGAAGTTCAGTGGTAGAACACTTGTCTAGCATATGCAAAGACACGAGTTTCATTACCAGCAAAACATACACACAAAAATACACATACGCACACACACACACACAAACACATTACACACATGGGGGGGCAGGAAGAAGGAGGGAAAGAAGGAGAG